TTTCCTCAACCCTTGGGGAGTGTATATAGAATGCTGTTTCCGGGATTCCGGAAAGTCTTCATCCTAACGCGCTCTTCAGGTTCTACTGAACAGATTGCTCTTTTAAGTATTCTAAGCCACAAAAAAGAAAATCATGAAACTCAACTGTCTATATATCAAATCATTGTTAACAAAAACTGTCAACAGAGTAAGACGTTGATCGCCTTGTTCCATTATTTCCAGTGACACAGTTCTCATTAATTTTGACGAGTGCGGAAGGCGTGACATTTAAAATTGAACTGCGTCAACCCAAAGTAGAAAAAGTACGACTAGGAGAACTGATTTCGCACGGAATCTGACCAAATTGTACAAAAGTTCGAACTATGAGCTTGAACGCATGGTACTTGAACTTAAAACTGCAACAGCCTGAAGAAGATGTCGGGAGTGCATTTCAACCAACCAGAAAAATAAATTTTGCTTATGTGGACGGATGAACAGTTTACCCGTCTCAGTTGTAAACTTTCGCACATGTCAACGGCACAGCAATAGTAGTACTACTTTGATTCCAAATAACAAGTTTATAATTTCCTTCTATTAAGCTAAATTTTGCCTCTAGGTATTGTTTCTCTGAGCTGGTGCAACATGCGAAAGAAAGTTTTGACTACTTTGCATTTTCGGAAGTTCAAGTTTATGACTGGCGGGAGTCCGTTTTGAATAATGTGACAAGACTTTAGGAAGGATCCTATGCTTACCAAGACCATAATTTTAAAGTTAGTAATTTTTCCCGCATAATACGTGCTGAAACGCGGAAAATAGTAAATGAAAGAACAACTAGAAAACTAAAAAGACTATTTAACTGTAAGCAAAAAACTGATCAGCCTGCAAAAACTTGGCGTAAAGTTTAGCACGGCAGCAGACTGGACCCTGTTGAAGAAGTCTTCCAGTCGTCTTCGGGTTATTTTTTATGCTAACAGATATAGCCCTATTGACCTGAAATCCGGCACAACCACTCAATTTATTATGTTTACTCTATAGGAAGTGACACACTTGAATGTCAGTATGTGGAGGAATGGTAGCTTAAAATGCGGACTTGAGAGATTTTCTGAGAGGTTTGCGAGTTAAAAAAGGCAGACGTATTTATATATCAGCAGGTAATTGCGTGCGTGCAAAAACACGCAGGAAAGTGGACTCAGAGTAAGCAAATATCGTGTGGTGCTGAACCGCTATGAACAAATAAAAGCAATCTCATTTTCAAAATCTGCATGGACGATCGAACTTTGTAATGTTTAATCATTCCACCGTTTCAATTAAATTTCGAAAAGATGTAACTATCTGAAAGTTGAATAAGAAATAGAAATGTTCTGCGACCTCTCGCAACCGAGGATAAAAGATACGAAGGACGCAAAAATAAAGTTAACTGCGCGTCCCTTTAACAGTGATATTAGCTCTCCATTGAAAGGGGTGGTTGGCCAGACTCTGGACAAAAAATCGATCACTTTCCCTTATTAGATAGTTTGTTATAAGAGTCTCAGCTTATCAGTACCGAAAATCCCCTTGAGAAATAGTAATTTTTGCGCAGTTGAAAGATTTCAGGACGTGCAACACTAGGTCCCGTGTCTGCTCTGCCCTCTATCGGGAATCACGACGTCACTAGGCTTGCTTAAAAAAAACCCTTAAAAGACCACTCTGATCGCATACCAAAATGGATAGCTGAAAACGTGCGGTGAGTGCAACTCACAGGGAACAGGGCAGCTGGCTCGATTCTTACAAGCATTCTCCGGTTTGTTCGCGGCCTCGCAGGGGACAGCCTCTTCACTTTCGTAAGAACTTATTGCCGCCCAGTCAGCGTCCAGTCGGTCTCTATTGCGTAGGCGTTCCTCCATATAAGACTGAGAGGGAAAGAAAAGAGGGAGAAGGAAAACATATAGGAGAG